AGCTCGATACCCGTGATGGGCACAGATCAGATAGCCCATGTTGTAGCTCTCCGCTTAAAACAAACAACATATATATATATATTACTAAGGTTTACCTTTATGTTTTAACTTACTATTACTGTCAAGAATTGAATATAGTTTTCTAGTTCTTTGATATTTAATATTAATTATTATGTTTTATAGACCAGCTAGTAAACAATATATAGTGTTGTATTTATTATTGATTGTTGATACTCCACGTGTTTAATATTAACTTCCGATCAAACCGAGCCATCTGCAAAGACCAGAACTAAAAATATACTCAGTGTATATACATACACGTAACTGGAGAATTGTTACGTCTTGACTAGGGATCGTATATATACTAGCTGAGTTACCCGGTGTTGCACGGTGAAAATTTAGATTTGAAATGTACAGATCAGTATTTTTTCAGCAAAATATTCAGTAAGTAGACAAAAGCTGTGATGCGAGAAATAAAAAAGCATTTAATCAAACAAAGCTTTATTTGAAATTAGATCGTGTTTGAGCTTGTCTTGTTCTTTGACCCTGAAGTCGTGCATCATGTTGCTCCTCTGTTTCTTGCTCTCTGTAAGTTATTTGTCTTAATTTTTGTGCTTGAAGGCTGGATTGACGTTGTTCAGAAGTTTCTTGTTGTCTATATCCAGCTTGCCTTGATGATTTTGGCTGAACTCTGGCTTTGTGCTGTACAACAGTTCCTTGGTTGGAACAACGTAAAGTTAGACTTCGAGCTCAAGCTGAAGGGCAGGCTACTCAAAGACACCGCTAAAAGAATGCAAGCACAAAGAGCAGCTGAAACAAATGAAGAACGCAATCAAAGACTTCAAGCACAAGCTGCAAGACAGGCTGCTCAAATACAGGAAGAGACTCAGAAGACTTTCCATAGAAAGGGCGTTTCTTGGGTGGCATAATCACCTGTAATTAAACAATAATTTGCAATTCACAAAGTTACTAAATCACTTATGAAACCACTTAGCACTATTTAAAGAAAATTGTTTTTGGAAATACCGAATTGAGAGCAAGGTGATCTGAGTGTCTCCTGCCATAAAGCTTTCTATGTGAAAAACGTGCATATATTTGTATGTTTATTACAAAAAAAAATGGCACAATAATCATTAATTGTCAATTTCATCATTAAATACTACATCAAATACAAAATAAATAGCACCATTAAATTTCTTGTAAAAAAACTGGTTATTATGAAGATATTTTAAAATTTGTAAGTTCAACCATTTGGTTTCCTATAGTGAACAAAATAAACAAACTTCCTCATATATATATATATATATGATAAATTGATTTTCCAAGTTGAATATGTATTATCGTAATATACCTTATGTACTGTTTATCTGCTTTTAGTATTATGTGGAAGCATTTTTCAGATTGTTCTTACAAAGTGAGAAAGGTTTCAATCCAAAGTTTATTCAAGAACAATTTTACAATCCTGCCTTATTTATCTTTTTGAAAGGAAAATTCCAAATTTGAAATTATTAAAAAGATAGTGTTTGTAAGGATGACAACCGTCCAGTTCTAGTTTTAACTCTTTCTACCATCAGAGTTACTTCCACAGCAATAACCTGTGCAAGAAATTAAATAATAAAACAAACGACGATGTTATTTTAGGAGCAAAGCTACATAATGGCGAATCTCTGCTATGCCAATTACAGCTATTGAAACCAAATTTTTTTTAAGAGTTAAAAGCTGTTAGAATTACCACTGAGCCACTGGTGGGGGAACAATATTATGTATTTCAAAATCCAATATTTTTCAAAATGATATGTTGAATTAATTGTATCTCCTAGTTCAAACTTCTAATCAGTAAATGCATTCACACAACATTTTCATCAGTGGCACCATATAAGAATCACACGAGAATTTATGACAATGCTATTTTACAAGCATGTGATTAAGCAAGTACAAACTTAATAAAGTAATTTTTCTGTCAACTGTCAAATTTGTGAATATATAAGTAAATCATTTATGCCCGAGTCGAAGTATTGAAATTTGTTTTATATACAAGAAAGAAAGAAGCAATTAATATAGATGAACACCTTTGTATTTGTTAAAAATAAGGTTGTTTTTATTAAAAGGGCTTTTATATTTTTTGTCTGTTAATATTGTCTTCTCTGCTAAGGATTTTTACCTTAGAAGAATAAAAAAAATGATTGTTCCTTGACATGTGTTCAAAAACATGATGGAGATTTTAAATGTTCATGTAAACGAGTAGAACGTTGTCCATTTGTCTCATCAATGTAACAGCTTTTGCAGTCCATACATTCAGTTGCATACAGATTGCCTGAAGTATCATTAACCATATTTTTTTATGAATAGTAGTGGACCTAGTTGTTTTTTTTTTTTCAGGTAAAAATGTAAATTGTACTTTAATGTGAATTTTTCATACTTTCAGATTGTTTTTAACCAGGTTTTTGATAGCATGAGAGAAGTTTGTAATGAACAGTAAAACACAAGAAACAGGGATATAATCTTAGTGTCTTATTTTCAAAGGAAGAAATTACTTTATAAACAACAGTGGGAGAAATATTTTGTACATAAAACTGAAGTCTAAGATTGTCATTTACGTTTTCGAAATAATCTGTGTTGGAACTTATGATTTTATTTGTACAAATAGCTCCTTTTAATATACCAAGTTTTTAAAAATTAATTTCTGTAAGCTGAAATTCTTATGTCTCACCTGATGATGCCAGGTAAAAGTAGTGAAATGTTGTGAACAAAATAAACAAGAGTATTAATATGCACAACCAATAAAACACATATGTGAATTTTATACAATATAGTTCTTATAAATATTTAATTCAGTAAATACATGTTGGTAATCTTAAGGAAAGAGGTCGAAACCCCATCCCACCCCTTCCACCTTTTTTTTTTCAGAAATAGCTTTTATTTAATGTTGTATAAGATCTCGAGAGTCCGAACACCTTCAATTTTTGTTCACAAATTAATAAAAGCAGTAATATAGTACCAAAAAGAAATATTAGATACCAGTGTGTTTCATTTGATTGGTCTATTAATTACTGTACAAGCTTTTTTTTTTCAGTTTTTCTGACACCAACACATCTGGCGTCTCTAGCAATCCGTTAACGACCTCAGCCAAGAAATGATTATTTCTAAACGAATACAACAATACTAGTATCAGTTAAACGTTGCCGTGGTAAATTTTCACGCATTGGCTTTTTACCATATTCAAAAATGCGTGTGTAATCTCAACTTTACATATTTGTTTTCATCAAAGTCAGTATTGTTTAGGGCACCTGCACCTCTTATGATACACTAGTCACAAAATCGACTTTTCATTGTTTGGAAGTTTGAATATAATCGCGAGAAGGGTGTTTTCGTATTGTTGATGTCCAAAATATACGACAATGCAATAGCTATGACTATATAAATGACGAATTAAAACAATTTAAACAGAAATCCTATTTACAAACAATAAAATGTGGACTTTATAATTTATTTTTAAATATAATTACAACTGTTTAATTTTGATTATAAAATTGGAAATGTTTATCTTTAACTGTTTTTTATTTTCATATCAATCAGATTACTAGAATTTAAGCCTAGCAATTGCTGTATTATAACCCAATTGAGCTACTCATAATGACTTTCTAATTAATTTCATTATTCAAATTATAAAATAGTGTGTAATTATAATTTAAGAGTAATAATTCATCAGTAGTGCTAGTAGAGGTTAGTTGGAATTCCCCCACCCCCTACAACATCCTGGATCGTCCGTTTCGAGTATCAATTTCCCAAAGTAAGAAACTGTAACAACATTTAACATAATTTGAAACATACACGTTCGAAAAATGTTTAATGTAAGTACTCCATGTAGCGAGCTTGGCATTTCTCTATTTATGAACATCAATCAGTATCGTTCATGTTATATCGTATTCATTTTTGCACAGGTTTTCGAAAAGTAATCTTGTTTCCAAAAATGATAGTATTTATCCGAAATATGATGTAGGCCTATAGCCAAACTATTCGTTTTTAAAATATTTTATTTACCTTTTTTAACTTTATATAAAAATTAGTTTGAAAATGTCACGAAGTAATACGTTTATTTTCATGAACAAAATTCAGTAGTATTGTGGATATCTGTAGGGAGGAACCAGCGGAACGCTATTAATCGTATTTTCAAGTCGTTACAAGCTTTGTATTACTTATGTGTATGATACATTTTCATGTACAACAGTTTAGGATGAACAACATTTTCACGTACAACAGTTTAGGATGAACAACATTTTCATGTACAAAAGTTTAGGATTAACAACATTTTCATGTACAACAGTTTA